TCCGCGTTCCATCTACTCGAAGCACTGCGGTTCATTGACACCCGGCCTGATCTCTCGGAGCAGATCAGGAGGTGTCCTAGCGCAGACGAAGTAAAGGCGATCGTGAGTCAAAACTCTGCCTTCTGCAGGCCTGACTGGGAAAACGTGGTTCTACACATGGTAAGTCGCAGTTGGATTGCTCTGCTTCACTCGTTACTGAACTGTCAACTTGCGACGGTAGATGGACGAGGTCTTGTATACAAAGTTCATCCAGCATCCTCACTTACGGAGCTTGTTGCTGAGCACCGGCGCAGCAGAGCTGCTCTACGCAGACACACACGACAACATGTGGGGTGATGGGCCACTAGGACGAGGTGCGAACGAACTTGGTCGGTCCCTTGAGCGGGTCAGAGACCGGCTGATTTCTGAAGGATTTTCGGTGGAAGAGACGTAGTGTCGTCCTTTCCATGCCATGATTACCTCTTTCTGTCATCGGCGGTATTTGGATTACATACCTCTGATACCTTTACTATCTCTGGTTTCACGAGCTTGATGATACTGACGACGTCTCATCGGGCTGAGGCAGGACCTCCTACTTCGGGAATATACAAACATGTATTACTAACATAGATGCAATATTAGCGTTAAAGGTCTTCATCGCTTTCGTCTTCTCCTGGTATCCCGGTCATCGTGTGTCTGTACGCCTTCCAATGTTTTTCGCTTCTGTGATTGCCCGTGCGTTGCACTATTTTGCGATTGTTCACCAAGCACGGCCTTTTCTACAGCTTGTCGACGTAATTTTTCGGGGACTTTCAGCCAATACAGCTCTTCTCGAGTACCGTCCACCATTTCGATTGTGACCGCCCTCCCTTCACCAGGTTGTGAGCTTCCTACGTCGTCCAAGCCGTTGGCTTGCACAACAAAAGAGACGCTGAAGTATTTGACTAGCTTGTCTGCATGCTTTGGTGTAGCGAGGCGCAGGTAGCACTGGACCAAGATCAGCGGTATGTGAAGTGACGCCGGCACAGGCACTTACAGTGTCCATGCCTTTGTTGAAATCCACGTAGTCTATACCGTCGTTACCCTCAGGGAATGCCTTTGCGAACAGTTTGCGGAGGGTAGTTTTGTTAGTCTCTGGGTGTACGTGGCGTACGTGTGCCAGACAGCCTGGCGGGTAAGGTGCAGACAGGTCAAGGATAGGTGGCACGGGCTGCTCGTAACGCTTATCAATAGTAGTTTTCGTCGGCTCAACAAGTATAGCAGAGGAGCTAGGAGGAGGCGCCGTTTGTGTCCCTTGGTGGACGGCATTCTCGTCCAGAAGACGTTGTCGGTACTGCAGGTATTCAGCGTTGAGCTGATCCCAACGCGCTTTAGGAAGTATGCGTAAACCACACTTTGTCACTTCGTTCACGTACGAATTAGGACTGATGTCGTATATTGTACGTTCTCCTTTCCACGGCCATCGCTGCACAAGATGATCAACGTCTTCGGCTTGCAAAAGAGTAATCAGAGCAAAGCCTTTGCATTTGGGTACGTCGCCTGCTTTATCGAGATGGTGTTTGGGTAGTGAGATGGACTGGACGCGTGACTGGGTGTGCGGGGCTGATGGTAGCAGAGCATTCACAAGACGGTAGATCCCAGCAATTGAGCGCTGCTGCTGAGGTATGTTTTCCTGTATGTGGCAGTGATTAGCCATAGCATGTTGCGTGGCCGGAGCACATACCAAGTACACAGTGCGTAGTTCCCATTCATTGCGAGAAAAGTTTCGGCTTCTATGTAGAGTCTCGCGCCAGTCCTTCAGCCGTATCTCGTAGCAACCACCGGGCTGCTTCGATGATGAATCCTTTCCATGCCACTCTGCGCGTGACGGTGAGGACATCAATAGACGAATGTCAATCGTGTTCTCCGCATGAGCTCGGAGGGCCTTGACGAGGATGGCTTCGGAGGGATGAGAGCAAAAATAAGGCGAGCTAGTGGTAACATACGTCAAAGGTATGACTGCGCGCAAGTCAGGCTTCTTTACGCGAAAGTAGGAGGTGGCACCACTCACACCCTTCGTCGCTGTGTTCCAAGGTCCTTCTTAGGTCAGGGTCAGACCACAGCGCGTGTTCCGACATTGCCAAGCAAAACAAAGCAGCATATTCCTCGTCTGACAGTATCCCGGATGCTTTTACCACGTCTGTCGCTTTACCCTTCCACGAACGGCTAGTTGTGTCTCTGCGCGCTGGGCCAGACTCCGGCTGTTGTGAGACGGTGGTTGACAATGTAGGAGGTCCCTGTGTCACGGTTGCAAGTACATGATTGCTTGAGGGTGTCGCCGAGCTCGACGTGGATCCTGCATTTTTCTGCGTACTAAGGGCTTTCGCGACTGTGCGCGGGAGGAAGGGTAGCATGAGCGAGTAAGGGCAGTCAACGTGAATTAATATAGCTTGAGAAATTCGAGACCACGCACTGGAAAGGGAAAGGGGATGAGTGGTCGCAGTTGGTGCCTGCTACTCGAATTAGCCCGTATAGGCATACAATGTGAGATCTTGATAGAACAACCACTGCACGTTAGACGTGAATATCAACGATGGATATTGCGTGGATATGGAAAATTTCCACGCAATATCCATGCACTTCTCAGAATGGATATTGCGTGGATAGAGCCCAGAATAGTTGGAATTTCCATGCTGTATCCATTCAATATCCACATAGACGCCTGATCAGCGATAATTATAATCGGGCAGTATATTAATATTCAGAATTTAATTGATTTTTGGCCACTATGCCATTGGATGCGCACACCACGCGCGAGCTGACCATGCATGTACAGTATACATATATTACTTCGAGTTGATGACCTGTAATACTTATGCAAAGCCCAAGTATACCTAGTACGTACACTGCACGTCAGACATGAATTCACACGCAGAAAAAATGCCGCTGAATCTGCCATTGACAGTCAGTACTTCACGTTATCCCGACAGTATACGCGCGGAGGGTGACGTACAGGTCGGGGTTCATGATGGGCCAAATGCCCCTGAGGAGCGCGTTTGCCCACTCTGCACTCTCATTCGTTCTCTCCTCGGTGGTAACCTGACCGTCAACGTCAGCGTCAGAGCCAGCGCGCAAGCCACGCATACGCTCCGAATGCCACACGCGGTCGTCAAATTCAACCTGGGATGCGCGGTGCATACGGAAGTTCATGGTGTACGCGACGAGGGTTGGGATGACGAGCGCAAAGGATGCAGAGAGGAGTGCGTTGGGTATGATGTACTGAGATGGCTCACTGAAGGAAGGGTTGTCGGGTTGGCCCACGTAGCACTTGAATATCCGAAATAAGCAGGATCCTTGCTATGTGATTCAGCAATGCGGTAATGACTCACGAATGCCTGTGGAAGTCGTAGTTAGTTCGCTGGCTATCATGACGAAAACTGGTATAAGAAATTCTTGCTTTATGCGCTACGATACACTCTTTGCCGCCCTTGAGACCATAGACGTCTAGTTCTTTAAGTGTGTATCCATCCTTTTCTCGGTAATCTGAGGAGCGTGGTTAGATAGGGATACCACAGTACGTCGTGGCAAAAGAACTTTGATAGCATACCGAGGTAGTCTCGGACTTCGGACTGGTATAGAGGATCTATCGTGTATGCAACGCCTATAACAGCAGCATCATGTCAAGCTTTTCGAGCCGGAATACCATATCGAAACTCACCCCACACAATATCCTCTTCCGGAAACGCGTCCTAGGGCCCAGACGGAGTCAGTCACCGCGTGCTCTCCGCGAACTGGAGGGTCGTTGAACATGCTCACAGCACCGGAGAAGGCATCCCAGTCCTCTTTATGTATCAGAGTCGTCACCCTGCCAGGGTTCTGTGTTGTGTTTGTCACGGTGTGTCCAGATGTCGAGGAGGGAATAGACACTGACTTCAGGCGTTCCTCGATGATCATGCAATTTTTGAGCAAATCGGCGCACATAACCTTTCATATATCCTGATACTATGGCCATAACACAGTGACACTCAGAGTAGCGAGGATAGAATGAGGAACTTACCTTGGGAGACAACATGCGGTGGGGGCTTCCAAGTGCCATGATATGTCCTTTACGATTCTGTACGCCTTGTTACCGACGATGTACATACCTCGAATATCAGCGACCCATATCCAAAGACTACGTACTCTTCAGGTCGGGCTCTTGGTCGGCATTCTTGATGTCGAGCTCCTCGCCGGTGACGGGGTCGACGACACGCATGACATGGCCCTTTGCGAGACGCGAAGCGGTTTTCTTTGTCTGGTCTGCCTCGTTCTTGTCGCTCTGGTCCTGAAGCTGGGCTGCTTTGGCGTCCGTGGCATGCTCGGGGTTGACGAGAGAGGTGAGTTTAGTGGTGATGTTGGGAACGGGGTTTTTGCCCGAGTAGGGCTCTTAAAATGCGTGACCCATGACAGAATGTGTTGTGAGCTCGCCTGCTAGTAGTCAGTCATTGCGCTGCTGTGAGGGAGACGACTCACCATCCGTCCTGCGACGGGGGTTCCTCATGATATGTTTTGAGCATGAAGAGGGTTGGGGCGGATGCTATATATACTCGCCAAATTCGAAGTTGTGGTTGTGTTTCGTCATCGGTGGATACTGTGCATTGTTGAGAAAGTTCAGTTGCCAACACCGAAGTGTTATGTAATCAGAAGCGGCCGACGCCTGCTCGATTTGGACGCTCCTGATGCGCCAATTGCTGATGAGTCGGCCGCAGGATATCATCGTGCTTACGAGTACTACCGATGGGCGCTCCTTGCGGGTCTGGATTATAGTTATGGGCGCTTATATGGATATTACATTTTTATTGCATGGAAATAAGTGTGAATGGATATAGGGTGGATATCGGATGGATATCACTAATATACACGCGATATCCACGATGGGAATTCAGGGCTAACGTGCAGTGAACCATGGCTCGCGCTCTTCTGAGCCAAATGTCCGAGTCACAGCGTGGGCGGGGGTAAGCAAACACACGAGTTATGTGTTTTCCCTGAGAAAGTATAAGTATCCCTCGATAGCTCAGTTGGAAGAGCGCGAGACTGTAATGGTTGCTTAAAAATCTTAATCTCGATGTCGCTGGTTCGATCCCGGCTCGAGGGATTGTTTTCGATTTTTGCCCAAATCGAGCTCCTTTGTCTCTTCTGGCGTTTTGATAATGTTGGAAGACGGTTTGGAAGAAATTGGAACGTGAATCAAGATGTTTTGAGCACGGCGCTAATTGGTTGGGAGCGCATGCATTGGGCGTTTGTTATAACACTTGCTCTGAGCCTTGATCTATAACCTCTGTCGTTGTGGTACACAAACGCGTCGGTGTACCGTGGCACGGCTGATACCATGGATCGCGAGGTTCAGCAACTTGTTGAGATGGTGCGCATATCTCGAAATCGTCAGCGATGAGGATACTAAGCGACGATTCAGGGTGCTACCCCTGCGCAAGCACGAGCCGCCTTGAAGCAGTACAAGGATGTGAATCAAGCCGCAGAACGATTCTTTGAAGGCGCGTTTGACCACATTTCAGACGACACGGAAGACGTCGAGATGAACACCGCTTCCAAACCCGCGAGGAGAACACAAATGGCGGTCAGTCTGAGAAGCCACTTGCTGTCTATTTGTCTCATCTGCCTGTCAAGACTCCGGAGCCTGAAGATGTTGAAGACGAACAAGACTTTATGGCAGAGGATTCTGATGGCGAAGTAGAGGAGGACGATGACGAGAACACGTACAGTGCGTACCCATACGAATATTGCCCCGAGTTGTTCACCGCAGCTGTGTTTGAAGTGGACTACGACTCCGACTATGAAGTGAAGCCGGACCCGGGGAAGGGGAACTTTACCGCTGATCCTTACGCTGGTGTGTTACTCTGGTATTACAGCCAGGAGGCTTATTGAGGCGCGGGACAGGAATCTTCTTCTCAAAGGACAGACGTGAAGAGGTTATCGAGGTCGAAGAGGAATCCGAGACCGTGTTCGTACCTGACGCGAATGAGCAGGCAAAGTTGATGACCCAGGGTCAGTGGATGAAAGGTTGCCCCGAAGGCGGCGAGCAAAGCTTCCTATTCAGTCTTTACAGTGAACTGTCCTCGGGGGCTTGCCGATGCCCACATGGATGCGGCAAGTCCGTACAACGGCAGAAGCGCGACTTCTTTGTTATTTTTGTAGGTCTGACAAATGAACAGCTTCACGGTGATGCTCATAACCCTCAGACAGAGTTCAGTACATATACTTCTCACCTACAGAAGATCGTGCCGCGCACATGCGAGGGATGCAGAAAGTATTTCTGCCTTGCTTGCGGAGAGCCGATGAATGCGAATCAACTAGACGAAAAAGAGTGTTTATTTCATTGTGCTAACCTGCAAGGTGTCATCTTGGGTGTAGGTCTCACCATGCTCGAACAATATTTCCACGACGAGAACACCGGCGTCGTCGAAAATACGGAAAAACCTGTGAATGGTAAACGACGGAAAGCACCAGCAGCTCAGGTACACCATCCGGCAGACGTGGACGACGACGATGATATATACCCTCTGCCTTCTAGCAAAGGCAAAAAGGCAAAACTTGGGATTGGCTACGCAGGCGATGTGCGGGAAGATGTAAGCACAATGTATGAGAACATCTCCACCACCTAACATTTCTCCAGAACACAGGCCAGATAGAAGCTCAAGCTCAACAAAAACTCAAAGATCAAAAGCTCTCTACGCTTTTGGCTAGCATACGTGTCTTCTTACCATCTCTTCACCGTGCCGAAGGCGGAAAACCGAGCGATTACCTTCCTCATCCGACTACACTCGCCCATCTGCGAAGACGATTCAACTACGTTAGTAGCCAGCTGTTGCGAAATGACTCGTTGGTGGACATGTCCGATCGTTCGATCCTTTATTTCGAGCTATTCGAGTGGATGGAGGTATTAGTGCTATGATCAGGTATATGGCACGACATCTGACCTCCTTGTAGACCATCTCATGCCACGAAGCACTGGCAAGCATGATGGCCATGCCAATCATGGTCGTATCTTCCGTGAAGAGTGTGGCTACGCGGAAGTCGAACTCGCGTTCTGGTCCGCAAATCCGCGAGCGCACGATCATCTACGAAGGCTCGTCAGGTCCACGAGAGCTACTCGAAGCCATTGTAATCCAGGCGCAAGCTGCCATCAAGGGCCTGGAACCCAGCATCGCAATTGCAGTGACCGAGGAGGAGATGACGGAGGAGCAGAAGCGGATGACGCTGGATGACAAGGGGAAAGGAAAGGAAATCAATAAATTTGTTTCCGAGGAGAACGTCAAGCTGTTGAATTTCTGCAAGCGCATTCTTGCGAATGCGGAGGCCATCGACCGGGCTCTCGTTCAGACCAAGGGAGACACATTCGTAGAAAGACTGCATGCGAGCCTGCCAAAAATTCCTGGGACGTCGACCAAAGACGGCGAGGACGTGAAGGTCAGCGCGAAGGACACGGATGAGGAGGTGGAAAAGGCTTACTTTGATTGGGCGAATCGTGTTCGATTTGAGTATTGTGACCTCACGTTGCCGAAAGCAGACGATGCACCGGAAGACGAGGCACCTCACTACAAGTTTTACTTTAATGCCGAAGCACGCATGTTGGCCAACTCGGACATTCCAAAACGGTCACTGGCAATTGCAAAAGAGGTATGGATCTTCCAAAAATCAACCTGGCAACGCCTTGCTGATGTCGCTATCACCCCTGCAGCTGGCTGTTCTGACGACAAACTTGCCCGTTGCCTTTAGTTCATCGATATTTTTGCGCGTGGATGAAACACGAGTGGACGTCATCAAGGCCCTGATAACCGGCCCAGAAGGGACACCGTATGTCATTCGAGGACATCATGCTTGACATAACAAATTTGATGAACTGACATGTGTGCTGTGTAGATATTACAACGGATGGTAAGCCTCTTAGAACGTTTGCCCGAAAAAGATACCAGACGACGAAACCATACCAGTTACCTCTTTGATATCTTCTTGGGACCAAGCTACAACCAAGCTCCTCCCAACGTGAAATACATGACCGTATGTGCACCGTATTGGTTCACCTGCAAGCTGCGTGTACTGATGGATTTTCGGCTTGCCAGACCAACGGAGGGAAATTTCGATTCAATCCTAACCTCTATGCGGTCCGTCGTGGACTCACGTTGACATTCTTGGCAAGGCTGCTCACTCTATCGGTTTAGGACGGCAAGGTCTGCCTATCGTTGCTGGGAACCTGGCAGGGGCCTGGATGGGTCTCTGGCCGATCTACACTTCTCCAGGTTCTTATATCGATCCAGTCGATGATTCTATGCGAGGAGCCCTACCTGAACGAGCCTGGATGGGCCAATTGCGCAGGGACTGCACAGTCGAAGCAATGTCAGCCTGCCACTCTATTCTCCCCGAAATACTGCTAACGACAAAAAATCAAAATATGTTAGATTCTGCAAATGTCCGACGTATGGTCGTCCGAACAGCAGTACGCTTGATTTATTTATGCAACGTGATGTCCAAGTTTCTCTCTAAACGTCTCATTTTGAGCAGATGCTGGGCAACCTGAAGAACCCACCAGCACCTTTTGCAGACGTGATTCGAACGCATTTCCGCCTCAAGGCCCGGTCTATCATCAAGCAGCTGGACGAGTGGCTTGCTCTGGATGACGGTAAAGCGATCCAGAGCGACGGGATGGCCATGGCCGGTAGACACACAGCGGCTGGAGGGAGCTCGCAGGCTTTCCAGACGGACGTGACGGAGCTTAAGGGTATTTTGCAGAGACTTATGGATGGCGGAAGCATTGCCGGAACTTCTGGCTCTTCTTGAGTTTGACCCCCTCCCGGTTGATTTTTCTCTCGAACTGTTTGTTATTCATGTAACCTGTACCTCGCTGTGGCTGGTACTTAGGCTGTAATATTAAGATAACATGGCCGGCAAATTTGGGCACTTGAAGAATACAGCATGTGATTCTTCGTTGTCGTCGCCGTTGAAGCAAAGACCGCAACATTCACAAGGAAACGCGGATTCCGTCCGGAAGAGCTCATGAACACAGCTCAACCATAGACAACGTCGTCGTCGTCGTCGTCGTCTTCGTCGCTCTTCAGCGTCACAAACGTACCAAACAACCGTCAGTGCATACATTGTATGCGCAGCCACCTCCGCGTCTGCTAGAGTCAACTCCTGTCCTAGTGACGATACCAAGCCCAAAGCTTGTAACTTGTGGTTGAACAACGACGCGCCATGCCTAGTGACTCTACCATCCACGCCCTTGCGGGCTCAGCAGGGGGTATTGTGGCCATGATCGCAACATTGTGAGTTGTCTCTCTGCGTCCAAATCCAAGCTGACGTGCATTATACCCTTCCCCCCTGTTTTTGTTTCATCGGTGAAACGTATGTAAAGCCCTCTCGTGTATGTGTCTACCAACGCAGCCGTAGACAGCGGAAAGGAACGCAAGGTGGGTTTTACACTGGCACATTCCTTCCCTTCTTTCCCCATCCATGATATCCATCTATCCAACTATCCGACAAACTGCTAGGAGTTCTAGAGCGTGACCGTCAAAACTTGACAAACTCACCACCATTGACCTATCTTTTGATGAACAGTCTGCGTTCAAAGTCGTTTTGGACACTATCAAGCACGAGGGTATCACTGGTTTGTATTCTGGAATGGGCTCGAGCCTGTTGGGAATCGCTGTGACAAACGGGTGCGTTTACCTTTTTTGTTTACATGTTTGTGCCCTGGTACCTGTCCGATTCGAATTCCCAACTTTCCGTCTATCTTGCAAATTTGCTGATGCGGCTTGTACGAGATGACTTTGATTTGCATCTTCGGATGTGTGGCCCTATCTCTCAGTTCCTTTTGTATCCGCATTGATACGACCCCCGGAAATCTTTTTTTTTGGGTGCTTGCAGGGTGTACTACTACTTTTACGAACGCTCCCGGGCAACGATTCTCAATTCCCGACCGGGGACAAAGGCTCTGAGCACTATCGAGTCTATGCTCGCCGGGTTTATCGCTGGTAAGTGTTGCCGCTCTCATCCCGTCGTTCCATTATTCCGTATATCCATCTATCTATAATTACTACTCCCCTTCATTTCACATGATTCGATGTACAACCTAGCGCTTTT